GGGCCCCACCCAGGGACAACACCCGGGGACTCCCCGTAGAAGACCTGGGATACATTGTCCCTGCTTCCTACCTTCAAGTTCTCCTTTCTGATTCGCAAAAAGAAAAGGAGTACTTGTGGCATCTTAAAGACTAACAGATTTATTTGAGCATAAGCTTTCGTGAGCTACAGCTCACTTCATCGGATGCATTCTGATTCGGGCAATCGTCCCACAGTCCGTGCCCTTGCCCTTTGTATCAGGGGTGGACCGCTCATGCCTGCATTCTCCACCACTTTGTAACCCGGTGTAGACTCACCAGCGGGGCCTCCTGCTGGTCGTCTCACAAGCTCAGGGTCTAACTGATCACTATATTTGGAGTCATGAAGGAATTTTCCCCTGAGTCAGATTGGCAAAGACCCTGGGTTTTTTTTGCCTTCCTCTGAAGCATGGGTGACATGCAAGTTTAAACTAATGTAAATGGTGAATTCTCTGTAACACAAGTCACTTTACACAGGGGAGTAGGCCAGTTTATCCCATGGGGCTTCTCACAAGAGTCAAGATATGTATGTGCTTAAAGAGGGTGCAGGATTGGAGCCCTAGGGTTTGTCTAAAATATTGGAACATCAGCTGAGCAGCTTCTGGTGGTAGATGTTAACCAGCCACCACCCAGGCTGTCAGGCGCAGGGATGCTGAATCTGGCCCAATTCCATAAAACTATGTTGGTTGGCAGGATCTTGGGTGCATTGGGCTAAAGGGGACCCACCACCCCCCAACCCCCAGATCTGAGCTCCCCCCCCCCCCACCACCACCACCACTGCCCTTGTGCATAGCCGAGAGCTACAAGAGAAGCATGGAGAGTCCCTGGAACATGGCCACAGCAGTGAGGTGAGGCCATGAGGCCCTGGCATGGTGCTGCAGGCAGAGTCCATCCCCAGTGCAGCCAGCGCCCAGAAAGTCAGCTCTGGTCCACCCTGCTGGTGCCTGCAAGGGAGGGAGGGCGGGCGAGGACTGAGCAGTGCGAGGGAAGAGAAGAGAAAGGGGGCTGTGGTGGAGGGAGACAGACACAGACACAGGCAGAGCCAGCTGCAGCCAACGGATCTCTGCAGTCCCAGCCCCTCTCCCATCACCCTCCAACCCCCACCATAGACCCCAAATAACCCCCCACCCACAGCCCTTAACCCCCCTGTCATAGTCCCCCAAGTAACCCCCTCCCCTAGCCACCAACCCTCCACTATAGACCCCCAAATAACCCCTTCCCACAGCCTCTAACCCCACCCACCACACATGCCAAATAACCCCCTCCAACAGCCTCTAACCCTTGCCATAGACCCCCAAATAACCCCCTCCCACAGCCTCTAGCCCCCTGCCATAAACTCCAAATAACCCCCTGCCATAGACCCCAAGTAACCCCCTCCTACAGCCCCTAACCCCCCACCATAGATCCCAAATAATCCCTTCCCCTAGCTCTTAGCCCCCTGCCACAGACCCCCAAATACCCTCCGACCCTCCTGCCATAGACCTCCTTCAGTGTCATCTTAGGACACCCTTGGTGTGTTGACATCTCATGAACAGCTGCCACCCTAAGGAAGCCCAGCTCAGTGTGTGTAGAAACAATCAAAGCCCCTTGGTGGGACCAGGTAGCATCAGTCAGCCCCCTTTGACATGGCGGGGACAGAGGCAGGAGTCTGCTCTAAACCATTGTCAGGGTCCAGGACTCCTTCACTAACAGGCATTGCAAATGTGCCAGGCATAGAGCAGTGGAGAATAGCAAATCATTTGTGAACCACTTCAAGGGGGTGTTGAGAGAGGTCTGCCCAGGAGACCCAGGAAGATCTTGGCGTCACCTAGAGGAGAAAGTGTCATTGCCAGATTCACAGCCCCATCAGGGGAGGAGGGAGAAAGAGCATCAGGGATCAGCTGCTCTGCAGGATTTCCCAGATGGCCCTGGCCCTCCAGTTCTGGTGGCTGTGCCTGGGTGACCAGGGGAGAGGCTCTCAGCACAGGTGGTGGTGGCCTGCATGGGTGAGATTGCTTTTCCATGGGCCAAGAAAGGCCAGCTGTAAGGGTGAGGAACCAATAGCCTCTGGGTAGGGAATTATGGAGTGTGCTCTTTAAATGACTAAAGTCTCTTATGCTTTGGTGGATGGTTCCCCATTAGGATTTGATGCTGGAGAGGATGTGTAAGAATAAACCTCCTCAAATGTTGGTGCTACCTCCTCTGGTGCCTTAGGTGCCCTCAGGAAGGGGTTACTAGCTGTGTAACAGGGCAGGGGGAGCCAGATGGTACCAGGTAGGAAGATTTAGTATGTGGTAAGGTGGTCTCTGGAGCTGGGAAATAATAGGTGAGCATCACTGAAGGATTCAGTAATATCGGTTCCAGAGTCACAGAGTGCTCCCTGGTGCTATGTAGGCAATGGGTCTCAATGGGGTCAGTGCTGTAACAACTGGTGCCACTAGCATCTGTCCCAACAACATAGGCACCAAGTGTGTCAGTACCGAGAGTATCAATGCCGAGGTGTTGGTGCCAGACAAGGGCTGGTCAGTGGCCAGGTGGGTACCAAGGGAACCCAGTGCACAATGAATGCCGAAGTGTTGGTACTGGACAAGACTGCTCAGTGGCTGGGTCAGTACTGAGGGCACCGGTGCACCGTCAGTGCTGAGGTGTCAGTAGAGCACTGAGGATCCAGAGATGAGTCAGAGACATTTGTCTCGTAGGCACTGCAGGAGGTGACCTTGAAGCAATGCGCCTGCCTAGCTGGGTCAGTAGCAGTTGAGGCCTGGATCAAGGAGGCCTGTGCAGCCTTCTCAGCTATCAACAACAGGGGCCACTCAGTAGAGAAGAGGCTTGGGCTCTCGGGGAGGCATCCTGGCTCAATGGGACGCTGGCTGAGTGGGGTTTCTCAGAGAGGTGGCCCCCTGACACCCTTGATGTTTGGGTCTGAAGCCAGCTCCGTGGAGTGCGCCGATATGAATGACATCAGATGGGCACCTCGCACCTTCTGGGTCCACGTAGAAAAGGAGCAGCGGATGGAGAAGTGGTCTGGATATTCCCTTCCCCTGGATAAAAACATCACCTGGAGTGCCCATCGTGAAGTGGCACCGGGCAGAGGGCAAGATTTACAGCCTGAGGACTTAGCCGGAAGATTTCAGCACTGAGAAGCCCCCAGTATGCACCAAAAAACCTTAAAATATCATGCAGGGGGAGGAGGGGCAACTGTTTGTGTTCTCTTGCCAATGGCATAAAAAAAAACCTAATTAGACTAACAAAGTCCCTAATTAAGCTAACTATAAACGATCTGAAGGACAAAGTGTGGTGGGGAAACAGATGGATCCTGCTCAAGTTCTGTCCCATTGCTGAGAGGGTCAGAAAGAACTGAGGGGCAGGTGGGCTCGCTCTGCCCTGAACTGGGGCCCCTGGGAACAGCACAGCTCCTGCAGACACCGCTGGCCAAAAGAAACTGCTCTCACCTGCATGAGAACTGAGTGCGGGATCCAGAAGAACAAAAGCCTAGAGAACAACAGGCAGCGTCAGGATATGGTGCCTTTATCCTGGTGTGATCGCGGACATCTGCACCAGGCCCACACTGGGAGCTATTGCAGGAGAAAAGCCCACCCTCTGCTGACAGTTCAAACACCAGGACGCACCCTCAGCCTTACATTTGTGAGTGTGAGCCCCCAGAAGGGTGTGTTTTCCTTCCTTCGTTAGGCGCAGGGTAGGAGCTCCGGCACCACTGGCACTAGGCCTTTCCTGAGCATCTGTGCAGCTCAGTTCACACCTGGGGCAGCCAGGAAGAGTCTTTCCCATGCTACCAGAGCCTCTGGGCTATATAGACAGCCAGATGACCGGGATGGACCCTCCTGCCCCAGCACCGTGCATCCCTGTTTGGGTGGCTGCAGAACCGACTCCCCGCGCCGACACGCCTCCCCCTGTACTGGCTGGGGGTGTCCGTGTGTTTCTGGTCCACAGCCCATGTAAAGCGGGACAGACGGATCCGGCTCCGACGCCGGACTTGCGGCGTTGCGGGCGGGGGCGATTTCCTCAGCGCTGGCCGCCAGGTGGCTCTGCCGCTTGCTCGGGCGGGCGGGCGCTCGCTCCGCGCTCTTGGTCCCTCTGCTCAGCGGGCTGGGGCGGAGCTTCCTGGGTCAGCTGCTGCGCGGCCTCCATAGCTGTGACCCGAAACCCTGCCCTGAGCCGCTGCTGCTCCCCAGCCGGGAGAGCCCTTCCCTAGCGCCCCTCTGGGCCCAGCCGGGGGGACTTTCTCCGGGGGCCGACACCAGCCCCTGAGCCGGAGCCTGCAGGTGAGGGGAGAGACCCGGGGAAGGGGCTGGGGCCGGGCAGGAAAGTGACTCTGCACCAACGGCCCCTCCTCGCCCCAGCTCTGCTCCCGGGGACGGGGGTCTGCGAGTCCCGGAGCTGCTGCCCCCCCCCCCCCGGGCTCTGCCCCACTGAGCGCCTGGAGGAGCCGAGCCAGCGCCGGGAGAGCGACCGCCCCGGGCCGGGCCAGGGACCGAGTCTCCCAGCCCGAGGGGAGGGAGCAGGGGGGAGACGGGGCAGAGACTGGCAGGCGCAGCAGGAGCAATCAGTGAGGAGGGAGGTTCACGACTCCCAGCCCCATTCCCTGCAGCACCCCGAGCAGATTGACTTTCCTGGGACAGGGGGGAGGCGCAGGGAGAGGAAAAGCCAGTTCCTGCCTCCGCCTGGTCCCCGCGCTGCTGGGGGGATGCGCTGCCCTGGGGACAGTGGCAGGGGGACCCCCCCTCCCAAGCAGCTCCTTTGATTCTTTTCCAGTGTCTGTTTCAGGGACTGTGACTGTGGAGCCAGGTTAAAAATGTGTCAGTGGTTTGAGTCTGGGTGAGATGGGCCAGATCTGCACTGGAATGAATTCTAACATGAATTATCAACAGATACTTGCATTGTGGTGCAGCTTTTGCCCTTCCCTCTCTGAGGTCCTTTTCTTCCTCTCCCCGCCCCCCCCCCACACACACACACACAAGGAATGACTTTGTCTCTGTCTCAGCAGGTGAATGCAAGCAGGAAACATCTTCATTCACATGTGCTGGTAAAAAGCAACTCATGACAAGATGCCACCAAAGCGATCCAAAGGAAATGGTTCACAGGGACTGAACCAGAAAAAGTCCCTCAAGAATCAGAGGAAGTCGGACAAGCTACAGAAGAGCTCTCTTGTGCAGAGAGAGGGTAAATCAGCTGTCCGCAGGAGAGCTGTGAGGAAGAGCAAAGACACCATCGTCTGCCAGAGAGCATATGCAGGGGAAAGGCCCAACATCTGCATCGAGTGTGGGAAAAGCTTCACCCAGAGCTCAGACCTTATGAACCATCAGAGAACCCACACGGGGGAGAAACCCTATAAATGCATCGACTGCGGGAAGAGCTTCAGCGTCAGCTCAAACCTGAGTCGACACCAGAGAACCCACACGGGGGTGAAGCCCTATCCCTGCACTGATTGCGGGAAAAGCTTCACAGACAAGTCCACCCTGACCCAGCATCAACACATCCATACAGGTGAGAAACCTTATAAATGCATCGACTGTGGGAAGAGCTTCAGCCGCAGCTCCCACCACAAGAGGCATCTGAGGAGCCCTCCAGGGAAGAGGCAGGACAAATGCATACACTGGGAAAGTGCCACTATTGGGAAGGTGAAAGAAACTAAAGTGTCTAAGAAGAAAACCCCGACCATTGAGATCCCCAACACGTGTGCCGAGTGCTGGCAAAGCTTCAGCCAGAACTCGGACCTGGTCAAACACATGAGGATCCACACAGGAGAAAAACCCTACAAGTGTCCCGACTGCGGAAAAAGATTCAATGTCAGCTCAAACCTGATCAGACACCAGAGGATCCACACGGGAGAGAAGCCCTACACGTGCTCTGACTGCGGGAAAAGCTTCACTGACAAATCCACTCTGACCCAGCACCACCGGATCCACACAGGAGAGAAACCCTACATATGCACTTACTGCGGGAAAAGCTTCAGCCGCAGCTCCCACCACAAGAGACATGAGCGAACCCACACCGGGGAGAATCCTGTGTCCTTTCTGCCCTTGTGGCCCTACCCCACCCAGACATACTGAAATGATTCCATTGGTTCTGGGCAGTGGGAGCTGAGGGCCCAGGAACCAAGTGGGAGATTTTCCCAAGCCCCAGCATGATTCAGTAGCACAATCCCCCATCAGGTTCCAGTAAGATATAGGGTCCCCTGTGCTTGTGTCACTTCTGGGCTTGAGACCTAGGTACCTAAATCAGTTAGGTGTTGCAATGTTGCATAGAGTTACGTCTTGACAACTGTAAGAATTTGGGCCTCATATCCCACCCAGAGCAAAGGGAGATCTCTGAGGGGTTTTCATTAGAGAATTAAGGAGTAAGCTACCCCAATTCCATTAGTATTATTTGTATCGTGGTAGCATCTAGCAGCCCCAGTCACGGACAAGAAACCGCAGTGCTAGGCACAGTACAAACACAGAACAGAGCTCTGCTCCACAGACTCAACAGGATCTGGGTGCCTAACTCACTTAGACCCTGTGAACATCCAGAATTTCGTAGAGTTTAGGGCCGGAGAGGACAATTAGATCGTCTAGCCTGACCTCCTGTATATCACAGGCCATGAATCTCACTCAAATACCGCTATATTGAGCCTAATTACTTTAGTTAAACTAAAACCTTTCAGCGCTTAAGAGACTAAACTGTTGTGAGCCAGAGAAGAGAACAGGAGAGACCAAGGGGCCCCTGCCATGGCTGGGAATTGATTAGGTGAGAGATGCCGGTATGATCCCAACATCTCTGCACCAGGGGGAAAATTCTTACCCAACCCCAAATCTGGTGATCAGTCTGACCCTGGGCAAGTGAGCAAAACCTACCAGCCAGGCATATAGAAAAAAGATTCTCTGAACCACTTCAGATCATTGGTTTACCTCACCTAGGTCTTGTTGCCAATCTCTGATGCTTCAGGGAAAGGTGAAAAAGGAACCCAGATACATCTGGCCAATGGTGCATTGGAAAAAAAATTCCTTCCTGTCCCTTGTAGGGGAGCATCTGAAGTACGAGATTTGGTTATTGTCATTACATAGTATAGCCAGTGTGCAGGGCCGGGGTGGGATAAAGAGCCTGTTCTTTGGGGCACCTCTTTCAGCAGGGAGCTACTACTTAGAAGAATTTATTTGGTTTTACATGATCATTGGCCTGTATGGATGAGTTGAGGTGGACAGTGGAGCCCTGTTCCCAGCTGGGCTGGAGTGTACAATGTGATTGGATACCCTGGAACTGGCACTCGCTGGTCTTTTTGCACAGTGTCAGCTGGGAAGGTAAGCACTCAGGAAGCCCAGAGGATCTGAACTTCCCTGAGCCCCAGGGAAGCCCTGTAGACTTCAGCCGGAGCTATGAAATCAGGGCTCAGTCTGGGTTTAGCCTGCACTTCCACTACCTGTGGTGAGAATATGAAGGGGCCCTTGAGCCTGGCTCGTCTCCCCAGCACTGATCCCCATCTCTTATGCAGTTGGTCAGATCGGACACGGATCCAGCAGATCCCCCTTGTGCTGATGCATTCAGAAAGGGGGGTTTCTCTCTCCTTTTCTGTGTAAATAGCCTCTCCCCCCTCAGTTAACTTTGCTGGTTCTCTGTGCTGGCACCTTCAACCAGTCTGTGACACATCACTCCGAACTCCAGTTTGTCATGCCGTCAGAGCTAAGCTGATAAGATGCTGGAGCCAGGGGCCTGGGGATTCCCCCGTTTTCCAGCTGGGAGCAAACTGCCTTGAGGCAGGTTATATTCCCCTCAGTCTACCCCACCCACCAGCCTTTGTTACCCTGCTCCCCATATCACACCCAGCCCATTAATTGATATCTCTGCCCCAGAACAGGGAGCTGGGCACTGCCGTGGTTCTGCTTCCCTGGCTCCAACACCCTGGGCCTCAGTCTCCAGAGTTTATTCGTCCCCATCCCGTGGAATTTGGGTCAGTTGAGGGGACTCACAGCTGCACCAGCTGAGTCCCGGAGCCCAGGGTGCATGTAGGAGGTTTCTCAGAGCTGGAGCGGCTGCTCCCAGGGAGGCTGGGTGCATGGACACTCCCAGTTGTGGCAGAGCCCCTCTCTGTTGCATGTGTAGTTGCAAAACATGTTAAATGCATTATGCTTTATAGAGAACAATTCTATTTAAAAAGCCTCAGGCGCCTTGGAAAATCCCAGCTTGAGATTTTGGACCATTGTGAGAACAATGAACAGTAATTGCCCAAGGACAAGGTGCTATGTAAAATATCCCCTGTTGTATTATTTCAGCACTAGCTTGTAGGGAGAGCTGAGAGCAACCAGGGCACAGGGGTAGCGTTACATGTTCAGAACCCTGACTTGTCTGCTCACCTGCTCAGCCCGAACGCTCCCTTCATCTGGACATTTTTTATTTTGCATAGATGCCACTGATGCTATTCTAGTGACTGCTGATGCTCTGATTTTTCCTGCTCTGCTGATGATCGGTTTGTATCTGTTGCAGGTGCTAACATTTTGCCTTTTTAAAGTATCATCATTAAATGGGAAACTGACTGTCTTTTATCTGCTGTTTCCTGCCCCCCCTGACACCTCCACCCCCCCGCAGTTGGTTTCTAAAGCCAAACCCCAGGCCCTGGAATGTTAATTTCCTTAGGACATACAGAGGGAGCAGTTGGGCCTTTCCATGTCTAGTGGTCCAGCCAGCTGAAGCTTCAGTCACACTTCACCTTCACATGGGAATTTTCTGTTAGTTTTTCCTTGTGTTGAGGCTGCAGGTTGAGAGGGGGACAGCTGACATGGGGTTCAGCTTGTCCAAAAGAAGGTTCATTGATTCATAGAACTTGCGGCCAGAAGGGACCATTAGTTTGTTTACTCTGTCCTGTCTAAACAGGCCATTAAATATCACCCATTACCCCGTATAGAACCCAGGAGCTTGTGTTTGGCTGAAGCATCCCTTCCAGAAAGGCACCAGTCTGGATGTGAAGACATCAAGAGATGGAGAATGGACCACTTTCATTAGGAATTTGTTCCAGAGGTAATCACCGTCTCTGTTAAAAATGTGTCTTATTTCTCATCTGAATGTGTCTGGCTTCAGCTTGCAGCCCGTGGTTCTTGTCCTGCCTTTCTTTGCTAGATTAAAGAGCCCTTTAGGATCCAGTATTTTCTCCCCATGAAGGTGCTTAAATACTGTAATCAAGTCACCTCTCAATCTTCTTGAGCTAAACAGATTGAGCTCTTTAAAACTGTCATATAAGGCATTTTCTCCAGCTGTCCAGTGATTTTTGTATCTCTTTTCTGCACCCTCTCCAATTTTTCAGCATTCCTTTTAAAATGTGGACATCAGAAGTAGACGTAGTATTCCAGTGTCGGTCTGAGAGGTAAAATTAACTCGTGTCCGACTCGCTACTCCCCTGTTTATACACCCAAGGATCACATTGCACTGGGAGCTCATGTTAGTTACTTGTCCGCTATAACCCCAAACACTTTCCAGAGTCGCTGTTTTCCCAGATAGTCCCCTGTTCTGTAGGTCTGGGTTACATCCTTTGTTCTTAGCTTTATAACTGCACTGGGCTGCATTAAAACACATTGTGTTTCAATGGGTCCTGTTTATTAAGTGATCCAGATTACTCTGCATGACTGCCCTGTCCTCATTATTTACCACTCTGCCGGTCTCTATGGCAGCTGCATCTTGTATCAGCAGTGATTTTATATTTGCTACCAGATTATTGATGAAAATGTTGAATAGTTTGGGGCCTAGATTTCCCCCCCCCCCCCTGAACCCCTAGAAAAAACCCCATTTGGTGGTCATTCCCCATTGACTACTTTTTGCGGTCTGGGGGGTACTGGTCAGGGAATGGGGTAGGGGGGCCTTTACCATCCAGGGGCCTCAATTTCAGGCCAGTTGCTTTGGTTGACTTAGGGGGACAGGAGACAGAAACATTGAGGCTTTAGAACACTAGTTCCAGTCAGTGCAAAAATCAACATGCAGGCAGCAGATACTTGGCTGCTCCAGAAAAACAGCTGTGCTACCATAGTGATAAGTGGGGCACAGAAACATACACAGACTAGATCAGATCCCTAGGACCTGCCCTAGAAGTGGGATTGGAACCCAGAGCAGGTATAGGATTTAAAATAAACCAGGAAATGAGAGACTCCTCTTCAAAAGAATGAAATTCCCCTAAGTAAACAGGAGGATGAGCTGCCAGAACAAGGGCTGCTGAACTGTACCTCTCAGCCTCTGAGAGATTGCTGCTTCTCTCCTCCTCCTTGGTTCTCACCTTAGTCAGTCAGCTGACAGTTCCCCTGGGGCTAGGGCCTGGTGCTTAACTGACACCTAGCCTGCTCCTTCACAGCTGGGGCAGAGCACAGCTGCACTCTGTCAATTCACAACTGGCACGTTATCCCCTTAAGGACCACAGGTGATGTGTATTAGAACAATCCTTAGGCTGCTCTAGCATATGCTGATGGGGAGCAGATGCAGTTTATGAAGCAAGGAGCCTGTCACTGTCCTCTGGCTCTCCAGTGTTGAGTTGGAGCTGGAGAAAATCTGGCTTGAAAAATGGAGTTGGGTCCTCGGAGTAGGATTGTCCAGTGGGTAGAGCACTCGATTGGCCCTTCAGAGGCTTCGGATCCATTTAATAAAGAAATAAACCACTAAAAACATAGTGCAGATCCTCACCTCGCAAAGTCAGTATGTTGTTTTTAATTTAGAGCATGGTAGCACACAGCGACCTGAAACAATATCAGAGCCCCAGATGCCATGTTGCACAACTCTCACAATTTTGTTGTGAGTCTTGTCATATTTGGTTATTTCTTAAATCCCCAGCTTCTGGAATCATGTTAATATGTGAGACTCTCAGCTTTCTTCTAAAAAAATGTCTGGCCCTGTGGGTGCAGCGAAAAGTTTAAAAACATGACTAAGTGTGCTAGAATGGTTCAAAACCAGAAGGCCAAGAAAAATAGTCCAAAATACTGCTGCTGCTTTTTTTTAAAGTAATATAATTTTAAACCATTATCCTGATCTTGGGACATCTGACTCATGACTTTTAATGCTTTACTTGAAGGAGGGGGTGGGGAAACTGAGGCACAGAGCCGTGCTGTGACTTGCCTGAGGTCACACACCAGGCCACTGGTAAAGTGTTAAGGAAAAGTTAGCATATGTGACTCCATTTTGGTTTGGGGCCCACCTTTGTCTAAAAGCAAGCACATAATGCACCAGGAGGAGTGTTCCTTAGATACTGCATTCCTGTGAAAACCCTCCCCCTTGTTTCCAGCCTGTATTGACTCCTGGTTTCTGTTCTTTGTCTGTTCCTAACTCCCTGCCTCCTGGCCTTGATGTGAGCCTCCCATCCTGATAAGAAAGGCTACTGGTGCATTGCTTTAGGACCATGTTGTGTAGTTGAAGTAATGGTTTAGCACAGGGAATGTACCTAGCAGGGATAGGTGGTAGATAAGGGAAGGGTTTGTCTATTGGCTAAGGTTTCCGATGCACGAGGGCAACATGCTTTGCTAAAAGGTATATAATCTCTGTATAACCTGCATTCGGGGTCCCCTCCTGACTAGCAGGGGGGCACCACGCTCGAGCGTAATAAACTTAGTATCTTTGGGAACTCTGCAGTTGTGGACTTTGTCCGTGTGCCTCAGCCTAGACTCGAACTGTGCGTGACCTATCGGGTATAATTCGCAGCAGTTCCTGTGCGTGACCTATCGGGTATAATTCGTAACAAGAGCCAGGAAGAGAACCCAGCGCCCTAGTCCCATGCCCCAGCCACTAGATCCTTTTGCCTTATCGGAGCGTGTTGCTCTTCTGCCAGTGTACACCAGCTGAGGGAGGCTCTGGTTTCCTGCACTTAAGTACACTCAAAACTATAAACCAATATACAAGCTCTAGCCTTTTCCTGTTCTGCCTCCCTGTGTCCACACGCCCCAACACGTAAACTAGTTGCTGCAGCTCTAGCCTGTGATCTAGCCTAGTGATCTAACCAGATCACTCCCAGACACCGCGTAAGTGGGCCCTGCTTGGGCACCTTCCATTCTCTGAGCACCGTGCACATACTAGCTGAGTCAATTCATATAGCCCTCGGTTTGCAGGTGAAAGGCTCCATAGCAGCCACATGGTAGGGATCTCAATCCCCTTCAGCCCCTCCCTGGCTTAGCTGGTGCAGTCTGGCCACCATCTCCCAGGGCTGCAAATGCTGAATAGAACGATTCCCAGTGATTTCACCCGCCCACTAAATGCACCGTCACTCACTGCTGCTTTGCTGGATCCTCCCCCTGCCAGCATTGCTCCCTGCCCCCAGCCAGCCACTCCCAGGCCAGCCTTCCTGCGTGGTCTCAAGCTTGGCACAGGCCCTGGGGCACGGCAGAGTTTCTGTGGAGTGGGTCTGTTCTCAGCAGGGCATCACTCCCACGAGCCCAGGGTATCTGTGCTGCTGCCATGTTGCCATGGGGCTGCCTGCTACTCGCAGCGATGGAGCTGTTGGGTGGGAACGTTTCTTGGCTCTGTAGGGTGATGGCATGACAAATACCAGCTTTGTCCCAGTTCTCATACGCACTAATGGTCGCCTGTCTACTGGGTCAGGGTTAGGGATGAGAAGGAAGGAATAAACCAGAAAAGTTCCAGGGGGAGCTCAGTGGATATGGGGAGAGGGGAATTTAGGTCTGGTGCCAAATGACTCTGAGTCTAACAGGTAGTGGTTGGGAGATGGTTTCTGTTTCAGCAGGCTGGTCTTGGTAGGGCTCTGAACTGGGCTCCAGGAGAGCTGTGTTCAGTTCCTGGCTCTGACATCAGGTCTCCGTGTGCCCTGCGCAAGGCCCTTCATCTCTCTGGTCTCAATTCACCGGCTCTGAAAGGGGAAATGATTCTTCCTGTGGCTGCCTGGTGTACTTAGCCCATAAACTCTTCATGGCAGGGCCTGTCCATCCATATGTGTCCGTGCAGGGCCCAGCACAAGGGGTCCTCAAGAGACTGTCCTGCAGAGATCACAGTAGAGAAGCAGGTAGCAGCAGAAGGTGATGGTGTGCAACAGCTGGTGAAGCAGTGAGCAGCTGGCGGGGTGACCGGCAGAGCAGTGATGCCAGAGCAAGTGTTGGACAGTAGAGTGAGAAAGGTGCTTTCTCTCTCTCTTCCCTCACCCAGCTTCGGGTGGGAGGTGAACTCACTCAGATGCACCTCTGAACTCTGGGTCTTCACTGACCAAGGACAACCACAGTGAGAGGGATGTGGTGGAGGGAGCAGGGAAGGGCACATTAAAGGAGCTTTTGGTTGTTGAACTCAAGAACCTGAGGTTAAAGATACTGCCCCATGCACTCTACGGTGGGTGTTAGCTTTAGGGGCTGAACACAATCCAGAGAGAGGAGGCAAATGCTAGGGAGATGGATTATTCCATTGCTCCTCTGGAAGTGTCTCTATCTCCTGCTCTGAGTGGGCTCACATCTCCCCATGTCTCCTAATCTATGCTAGTGAGGCCCCTGTGCCCACTGAAGGGGAACAGGAATGGAGAGACAGAACAAGGACATCATCAATGGGGCTTGGGTTTTTTCTGGCTCAAACATTTTGTCAGCTGCAGTTCCCTCTCCACGTGCACTTTTGATCCTCAGCCCAGACCTTTTGCCTCACAGAGATGGGGTTGCAGCATGGAGTGAGAGAGATGTTAATAACTGGGGCAAAAATGGGAATGATGGACCCCCTTTTCTAAGCTAATTGACCCAGGGGGAACCCCTGCATTCATGCTTCAAATACACAAGTAGTGCCTAGAACTGAATCCCTCTCTGTCCATGGCTGGAGTGTAACACGTTGGACCAGAGCTGCCCTGTCCTTCTTCAGTAGCTAAGACATAGCTAGAGGTTTGAGAGTCCCTACTAGGTGTAGACCAATGACACTGATCCAGCAATTCATGTAGCAATAGTAGCATGTGCTTTTTAGATGCAGCTATTAAGATTCAGCCCTGCAGGTGGACCCCCCACGGAAGGGGAGGTATTGTACAAACTTCCCCATCACACACCTGGTCTGAATGACAGCCCAACACTATCCGGGTAATACTATAGGGCTCTGGCTGGGCTCATGACCTGTATGTGCTTACACAGATGCTGGCAGTGAGCCAACCACCATCTTGCAGGCTTGAGTCCTTGGCTTTTGAAACTGCCTTGGCATGATGCTGAGGGCACCTCTGGACATGTGCTCTATGGGTGCAAGAGGAAGAGATGGGTTGAGAGATACAGAAAGGAGTATAGCACCAAGGACAAGGCAGGAGAGGAAGGATGGGCTTGTGACTACGGCCCTCTTGTGGGATTTGTGAGCTGTAGATTTAGTTCCTTGTTCTGCCCCTGACCCTAGGGTGCACCTGCACCGCAATTAAACCCCGTGGCTGACCAACAGTGGCAGATTTGGGCTCGCAGGGCTTGGACTATGGGGCTGTAAAACTGCAGTGTAGACAGTTGTTCTCAGGCTGGAGCCTTAGCTCTGGGACCGCACAAGTGGGGAGGGCTGGCAGAGCCTAGGCCCCAGCCCGACTCTGAACGTTTACACCACAGTTTTGCAGCCCAAGTCAGCTTACCCGGACCAGCCACTTGTGTTTAACTGCAGTGTAGACATACCCTGGGTGCATAGCCGCTGACTTCTACTGGCGCTGGTGGGTGCTCGACCCCTGTCTGCCCCCTGCCCCACCCCCTTCCCCAAAGTCCCCGTCCCAACTCCGCCCCCTCCGTGCTCCTATTCCAACTCCTTCCCCAAATCCCCACCCCCTCCCCTGAGCGTTCCAGAGCATAGCCCGGTGACTCTGTGACGGGGGAGGCGCGGGAACTACTCCATAAGAAGCCAGTCAGGACTCTGGGGGAGCCTCCTCTCTCTGAGCAAACTGTCTCCAGGGCAAGAAGCTTACACAGCTTCATCCTTCCTGAGTCTGAGCTTGGAGCATTCAGCACCCCTGTCCTCACTATGCACTTCCCACAGCGAGTCTGCCTGGGCGGGGCTCCTGGGGAAGCCAGAGTGTCCTGCACCCCAACTCCGCAGTCAGACATGACTCACAGCCAGCCAGTAAAACAGAAGGTTTAGTAGATGACAGGAACACAGTCCAAAAACAGAGCTTGTAGTTACAGGAAACAGGACCCCTCAGTCAGGTCCATCTTGGGGCCAGGGAGGCCAGACCCTGGGTCTGGGCCTCCCTCCATTTCCCCAGCCAGCTCCAAACTCAAGCCCCCTCCAGCCCCTTCTCTGGCCTTTGTCTCTTTCCAGGGCCAGGAGGTCACCTGATCTCTTTGTTGTCCAACACCTTCAGTTGGCACCTTGCAGGGGAGGGACCCAGGCCATCAGTTGCCAGGAGACAGGGTGTCTGCATTCTCTGTGCGAACAGCATCACAGTGGCCCACTAAGGCTCTGCAACAATCACACACCCTTATCCCATCACCTAGATACTTAAGAAATGCACAGGGGACACTGAGGCACCCACACAGTATTCAGAGAAAACATTAAGAACATTCCCACTTCGTCACACCCCCTCCCTCCCGGAGCTTGCTACAGCAGTTTGGCAGCGGCAAGTGCAGTGAGGTAGGTGGAGCAGGGACGCAGCACGCTCAACAGAGGAGGAGGTGGGGAGAGGAGCTTGGCTGCCGGAGGGTGCAGAGCACCCGCTAATTTTTCCCCATGGGTGCTCCAGCCCCAGAGCATCCATAGAGTTGGCGCCTATGCCTGGGTGTGTCCCTGGGCCAGTCATCTCTGAGATCCCTGTCTGAAGAATGGAGATAATAATGTTGACCTGGCTCTGGGTGCGATATGAGCTGCTCAGATCCTGTGGTGGTGAGGGTCATACACAGATAGAGAGAGTTAGCACATCTGCAACCTGCAGCTCATGGCTTCTGGCCAGCAGTGTGGGAATGGGATTTGGCATTACCATTATTAACCAAGATTTGGGTCCCATTGTGCCAGCTGCCGCACAGATACAGCATGAGCAATGGTTCCTGCCTGACAGCTTACAAACCCAAAAGACAAGGCAGACCAATGGCAGGAGGGGGAATGGTCACACAGCTGGTTAGTGGCAGCAGGAATAACCCCCAGCTGTCCTAAGTCTCAGCCCAGTAGACCACATCCAGTACACCACACTTAGCTACCAACCATACACAACAACTAGCTCTTATACAGCATATCTCAAAGCACTTACAAAGAAAGTTTGTGTCATTAATTCCTTTTTACAGCTGGGGAAACTGAGGTACAGAAGGGGCAGCATCTTCCCAGAGTTACCCAGCAGGTTGGCGAGGCTCCTGAGTCCCAGTAAAGTACAGCGCTCTATCCGCTAGGAAACACTGCCTCCAAAACCCTGGACTCGCAGACAGTGGGGACAGATCAGAGACAAGGGAACCTGGGGCAGCTACTAGAAGCATGTCAGGCATTCAGTTACCGATGTAGCACTGTCAACACCCCAGAGTCCAAGGGCTATTCTGGACAGCAAAGTACATAAAAGACCTTTTCTGGCAATTGAAATGATAATATTGTTTGTGGAAAATAAATGATGATTGTAGAGCAAAATTTGTAACTATTATTCAAAAAGAATGTCTCAGGGTTAGTGTCCTCACAGCACATTAATAAGCACAGGGAATTATGCAAAATTAATGCAAA